AGTTAGATATCTTATCATTACTAATGAAATTAAATCTAAGCAGGGTGTTATAAAGATTAATCTATATACTATTTACTACTATTTAGTTAGCTATATTAGCCTAGGTAAGTAATATATTATTTAGATACTAGTAACTAATAAAGTTAAATATACCTATAATATTATTTTTAAAGAAGGAAGTAATCTAGATCTCTATAATAATCTAGATAATAATTATAGTAAATTTATTAATCTACTAGCCATTCCACCTACTAACTATAATCTAAATAAGGTTATTAGTAATAATAATTTAGATTAAGATATTATTAAAGGCTAGGATCTAACTATATCTAATCTACCTAGACTAGAGGACAGCATCCCTATACTATAAATATATATAGAGGTAGGTCCTAGTATTACTAAGGATATTAACTTCCTATATAGAGGCCTTTTTAGTAAGCTAGTAAAAGACCTTCTAGAATATTCCTAGCTAGAAGTAATTTAGCTTATAGAATAGGGGGTGTATTATATTAATACTAAGACTATAGAAAGATATATATAGAATTATATTATTATTAGGTATATATATATTAGTAATAATTATACTAATATTATTAAGCCTTCTTCCTTTTATAAGGTAATCAACTCTCCTAAAGCAGATAATTAGTAGAATACTATAAAAGTAGAAGTAGATAATCTTATTAAGTAAGGTATCTAGGTGCTTAAGGCCCTACCTACTAGCTATAAGGCTATTAAGGGGTATTAGGTCTATAAGATTAAGATTAATACTAATAATAAGATTATCTAATTTAAGATAAAATAGGTTACTAAAGGCTATACCTAGATACCTAGAGTAGACTTTAACTAGATATTTTTACCTACTATAAAGCTAGCTACTATCTGCTTATTCTTTATACTTATAGCTATCTTAGGCTATTATTATATTAAAGTAGACATCAAGCTTATATTCTTATAGAGTAAATTCTTTAATAGTGAAGTTATCTATATAAAATAGCTATAAGATTTTAATAATAAGTCTAGCTATATATACTAACTATTACTTCCTTTATATAGATTAAAGTAATCTATATAGGCCTAGTATCTTATCTTCTATAGTAGAGTTACTAAGATTAGATTATAGCTATCTAAGATTAATAAATATCTCTTCTTTAACATCTATAGTATACTCCTTATCTTATATATTAATAATATAGAGATTACCAGACCCTCTAAGCAGATTACTAAGGGGGTATATAAGGCTATTAATAAACTATTTAATATTTTACTTATTAGCCTAGCTACCTATTATCTAGGCATGAAGATAGACCTAGATATTAAGAAAAGATAGATTAAGCTATCTTAATATACTTATCTTTAATATCTTATTAATATATTTAATCTATATTTAGTTAAAACCATAGTAATATCTATAGAAGAAGGTGCTTACCTAGTTAAATTAGATAAGCCTATTAGATATAATCTTAAACTTAAAGAGAGATATAGAGTAGGAGTTAGCTTAGTTATATATCTAATACTATAGACTAGGCTAGATACTACCTTTACTGTTAGGAAGCTAGCTAGATATACTATAAATCCTAATAAATTATATCTTAAGCATCTTATTTATCTTATTTAATTCTTCTATTAGACCCTGGATATTAGAATTATCTATAAGCCTTATGACACAAAAGATATCATATATAAGCTAGATATTATTATTAGCTATATTAATATAGATTATACAGGATGTATTAATACATACTATTTAACTACTAGATATATCTTTATATTTAGTAATAGGCCTATCTTATAAGCTTCTAAGCTATAATTAGTCATCTCTTTATCTATATATAAGGCTAAATATATTACTATTATTTATATTATAAAGGAAGCTATCTAGCTTACCTATCTCCTTAAAGATATTAGCTTTAATAATATATACCTTATGCAGATTAATACTAATAGCTAGCCTACTATAGACCTAATCTATAATGCTTAATTCTATGCTCGCAGCAAGCATATTAATATTAATTATTATTAGATTAGAGATATAATAGTCAAGAAGCAGGTCTTCCTATAGCATCTTTTAATAGATAAGATAATTATAGATCTTATAATGAAGCTACTTAGTTATCTAAAGTTTAATTAATTCTTTAAGGTGCTAGGCTTAGCCTAGCAGAGCACTATAAATAGTAGATCTTAATGCTATAATTATAGATTAACTACCTAATTAGGAAGTGGCTATAACCTTGTTAATTAAATCTAGGGGTGTATGGCCATACTTGGTATAGCAGAGATCTAATCACATGATCTTGCTCAGTAGATAGCTCCTTCCACTATACAATAGTAAACATAGATTTACATACATAATGAATTAACGAAATATCTTCATATTCTGAACCTCTCTCTGCTCATTCCACATTATCTTTATAGAATACTTTTACTTATATTAGGTCCTAAACTCTTACTCTCTACTCTCTTATTCTCTTACCATATCTCTATTCTCTACTTTTTATTCCTCCTAGACTTCACAGTCAGGGGGAGAGCAATAGAGCATATGAGGGAGTTTGATCCTATAGATAAGGCAGCCGGGTTAGTAGGTATTGTTATTGTCAAAAAGCAGGGTAAGTCATCCCCTCAAGGCAGCAGATATCAACTAAGCAGCCTAGTTGTGGTACAATGACATGTTAGCTTGAAACAAGAGGGTGGCACAACGCATTGGATAGAAGAGACTGTGTCTGACAGGCCTAGTATAGTGATCAGCAGGATCATTAGTATTCTTTAAGAGGTACTGTAGACCACTATCCGTGCAGGCTAGGCCCGACCACCACTTCCTTCAAAACCGCCAGACATCAAATACATCCTCGTATCCAGAGTGACATATTCATCTAAAAAGGAAAGCAAGTCTTTGTCTGCTGCTAACCAAGGCCTCTTGTCAGCTCGAACTTGACTATAGCAGTGTTTTGCTTTATTAATACATATTGAGTTTCTGAAGAGAGAGAGGCAGTGGATATATTGCACTACAGGGCTTTATTTCTGTATTTTCATCTATTTCCCGAAATAATGAAGATAATGGCTGCCTATATGCTGATACTACATATTTAGTGACCTGGATCATGCTCTCTTCAAGTACATCTCATATTAGGCTTATGCACAGCTACAAATCAATGAATTTAATATATAACATAACATGTCAAAGGCTACAAACCATTCAAGTCAAGTAGAAAGCTCATTCAGCTGGATGTTGTCTAGTATGTAAACTCCTGACCAACAACTTCTCACAATAAATCTGAAAGGATGCGCAGCTCGAGTATCGCAGATATTATATATCCGCGGAGTTGCTTAACTTTATAATTGCTGGAAATGAACTCATGACATCACCCCTGACTACTTATATATGTCCACGGCCAGCACGATTTACATTGGTATTCAAACTCTAGAGAGTAGTTCGAAGTTGAAATTATAAAAATGTGCAGATATGCATTATTTAGGAGACCGTGGCTGAGAAGGGGCCCTCCATGGGAATGGATGTCGATACCAAGGTGTAGTCCAGCCCAGAGAAAACTATCGACTTGGATGACAGCAAATCCAACATCGAAGCGGCCAAAGGAGCGTCTACAAGTCTGGCCATGGTTGGCTGTTCCTGTCCTCGGAGGCACCTTGCTCTTATCAGTACACAAACATCCTATCCAACTCGAAACAGGCGCATCCCTTCAAGGAGACTACCCTACTCGCGAGGAATCTCAAGATGATATGCTTGATCTACCCAAAGAGGACGCCATTCTGACCACCGCTCCTAACGTCCCTCCCCCGATCACCCGGACACACCCGGTTCTTCTTCGCGTCCCATTGATAACGTCCACCAAAACGCGCCAACTCACCAGTCAATTCAAGTACGACATGTGGACCTTCAACGACAGCGTCCCCGGGCCGTTCATCCGGGCGCGCGTAGGCGACGTAGTCGAGCTAACCCTCACCAACCACGACCGCACCGGCAACCCGCACAACATCGACTGCCACGCCTTCACCGGCCCCGGCGGCGGCGCAGCCGTCACCACCGCCGAGGAAGACGAGACCAAAACCGCGCGGTTCAAGCTGCTCTACCCGGGCCTGTTTGTCTACCACTGCGCCGCGGCCCCGGTCCCCGTGCACATCTCCAACGGCATGTACGGACTGATCTACGTGCAGCCCGAAGACGGCGATCTCCCTGCTGTGGATAGGGAATACTACGTCATGCAGAGCGAATTCTACCACGAACCGCCGGAGATCGAGGATGACGGGCGGCCCTCGTCTACAGTCGAGTTCTCGTACCCTGCGGGGCTGCGCGAGGAGCCCTCCGCGGTGGTGTTCAACGGGAGCGAGTCGGCGCTGACGCGGGATCGACCGCTCAAGGCGAAGACGGGCGAGTCGGTGCGGATCTTCTTTGGGAACGCCGGTCCCAATCTTACGAGTTCGTTTCATGTCATTGGAAGCCATTTCCAGCAGGTCTTTCGGGATGGAGGGGTGGTTGATCCTCCGGCTAGGTTGTTGTCGACTGTGGGTGTGCCACCGGGCGGAGCAGCAATTGTCGATCTGAAGATGATTGTCCCGGGGACGTATACGCTTGTCGACCATGCGATATTCCGGATGGATAAGGGGGCGGTTGGGTATTTGAATGTGGCGGGTGCGCCTCGTCCGGACATCCTTTATAGTGAGCTGCCGCCGGAGCCTTGTGTGGGGTGTAAGCTGCATCCGTAGGATCCCAGGAGTGCTTCGAGTATTGCGACAGGCAAACAGTCATTTCTCTGATTTCTCACTTTCTCGTATTGTATTTTGACGGAACATACCAACAATACCACCCTGGAACATTTATGAATTCTTTTGACACTCTCAATCATGCGGACCAACGCATATCTAGATGATGTTTGTATGAGATACTCGAAAAGTATCGATGATTTGCTCCAGCAGACTTCGTATGGACATCAATAGTCATGAACTATGCGGCCGAAGCCATAATCTGACCAGCATATATGCACCAGATCCTAGAAAGCCCCCTTTCCTGGAGTCGTGTCGCCGTCCAGTGCACCACAGCCCTCCTGGTACACAGCCGGATTCAACAGCTGCGTCCCCGTCTCATTTTTATATGCAAGACCAATCAGTGTGTTCCCTGGTTGACATTAGCATCCCATCTCATATTAACCGATGATTCACTCTGTCAGCACGATATCTCGGCCACCCAAGGTGATCCAAACTACCTTCTGGATCCGTCGCAAACTTCACCCAAGCAGACGAAATATACCTGTTTGTCCGCTTCTCCACCGAAGAATCAGGAATGCCGGTGACATTCTCCGCCGTCCCAAAGACCATATGCAGGTCGACCCCGTGGTAAGCCCCGCTGGTGGGATACAGTCTCAGATTCCAAAAGTCGCCAAAGTACCGCGCTTGCCAGGTAGGGACTCCCTGCGCGGCGCGATCGGCCGCCGCTTGGCCAGTCGGACAGGTGAAGGCGGCCAGATTGAACTGGTGCCATTCCTCGTCGGTGAGTGAGATGCCCGCACTAAAGGCGTTGATGCGGTAGTAGCCTGCTTCGTTGTCGTTGCTTGTAAAGAGGTATGGCTAGCTTCGTTAGTATGATTGCTTAGGCTTGGGGCTCAGGTTTATGGAGAAGCTTACCGCTTTGATGAACTTGCCCTGCGCGGAGCGTTCGGCGTAGTTGTCAAAGACTGTAATGCCGTCCACGGTAGGATGGAATTGGGGTTGAGGAAGCGCCGGGGAGGGGGCGAACGGGACTTTTTTCACCGCCGCAAGAATTGCTTGGAATGACTGCTCGCGCAGACATTCTACCATCGCGTCAATGGGGTCGGTGCTGTTGCCGCAGCCTAGAGTGTTTGAGACGTGGTAGAAGTAACTGGCGGATTCCTCGGCGGTGTTGGGCTTGAAGCTCAGCGCGGTGCCCGAGTGCGAGATGAGGCCGCGGACGAGCGGCTTCTCCGTCCAGATGTACGAGTAGTAGTCGACCGAAGCGCCTCCCGCGGACTGTCCGAAGATGGTGATGCGGTCAGGGTCGCCTCCAAACCCGGCGATGTTGGCATACACCCATTCAATGGCCATGCGCTGGTCCAGCAGACCCACGTTCTGGGTGAGGCCAGGGGCTCCCGAGAAACCAAAGATGTTCAATCGGTAACTGTCCGATTAGTCCGGCACGGTGCAACGGGGGCTGATCACTGACTTGAAGGTGACCACGACGACATCATTCTCGGCGACCAAGTTCTCGCCGTCGTACATGGGGCTGTGAGCTCCACCAACGCTGAATCCTGCGGTCGTTAGTACGTGCTGTATATGACACGCGGGAACAACATACGACCACCATGGATGAAAACCAACACCGGTTTTAGCTCGTGTGTGGGCTTAGTCCATACATTCAAGTAGAGACAATCCTCGCTCTGGGGAGTCCCCAATTGCTGAGCAAAGGTTCTGATAATGGTCGGTGCTTGCAGCGTCAGGCCGGGGAAACCCGGGACGCTTCCAATATTGGCGGGACAATCCCTATCACAACTGTCAGATACTGAGCACGCGGGTTGTCTCCAGGGTCACGCACGGGCTCTACAAAACGTTAGTCTGTTCCTGGAACCCTGCATCGTGCAGCATACATAAGCATTGGCAAGGACGGTGCCATTGCCCGGGTATTGGACCGGAGGAGCGAATCGGAGGTCTCCCGTGGGCGAAGCAGCATAAGGGATCCCCAGATACTCGAACACCCCGGGTCGCGACGCAATGTGCCCCTCAATCAAGCCGCTGCTGGTCCGTACACGAGCGCCTGGGGCATCGCGCTGGAAGTGGGAGTTGGGTGGTAATTGGGCATATGCTGGAGTAGAGGTGGCCAAAAGGGTAGCACCCAGGGAGATCCAAAAGCTGAAACGAACCATGGCGCAACCCGTCCACGGAAAAAAGCGATTAACGAGAAGGATTGCAAGGATTGCACAGCTTAAAGGGATTGCACTTCATCAGAGATGGTTAATATATTATCGGGATATTTCTCGGAATCCAAGTAGCCAAAGCGTCGATCCAGCCCGAAACAGGACAATTCTCCCGCCAAGTGGACCGATGGAGCACAGCTAGGACAAGCCCCTTTTCACTCTGTTCAATAGCGAACGGACTCTGACACGGGCAATTAGAGTACGGATCCAATCGTCGCATGGGCATCGTGGAACATCCCCGATTAATCCACCTGGGCAGCCTTGCATGGCTCGTAGCCCAATTGCACGGCCTCGCTTAGGAAATAAGGATAATGGTACGGACAGTCCCACGAGTCGCGGCATTTCCGGTTAAGTTCAAGGAGCGCGAAGGATTGATTCACTTTGATTGCGGGTTCCGTCCGGAATCCTTCCGAATATCATCATGACACGAACCGAGGGTTTTTTGCTGAGAACATAGATAGATGGCACGGATCCTTCCATCTGCATGATTCACGATGAGGAATCTTGCCTGACATGGCGTATGAGATTGGACTGAGCACGCCTACTGTGCCGAATCGCGGTTTCACACTTTGGATATGGAGTGTGGTCCTGGTGATTGTGGCCGGTTTCTTTGTGCTGGGCCGGTTTGCAATTCGGTTTCACAATCGCCTTATTGGAACCGATGACTGGGTGATTTTCGCGTCATTGGTATGATCGTCCTCGCATGAATGCGCGTTTGCTGGCGATCACAGATAGCATCGGTGTTGCTGACGGTGACCGAGTGTTCTGGTAAGTAGTCACCTCACTTCATTCTTGGGCTTTAATGACTCTTGTAGCGGTGCATTATGGTTACGGAAAGCACTTGAAAAACATCGCCCTTGATGACCGAGTCAAAGCTCTCAAGGTATGATCTACGCATTGCCTCCAGTGTGATTTATGATTGATGATTGACGAGGATAGTGGTTCTACGGTGCCCAAATCGTATACAAAGTCGTCATCACCGTCAACAAGATCTCCTTCCTATGTCTCTATCTTCGCATCTTCATCCAGCCCGTCTTCCGCCGCGTCTGCTATGGCGGGATTGCCTTTCTTTCCGCCTGGGGTCTCGCCTATATACTCGTTACCATCTTCCAATGTACACCCGTTGCCGCGTTCTGGGACAAGACAATCACCCGAAAGTCCTGTGTCAACAGCAAAGCGCAGTGGTTGTCGTATGCCGTCATCAATATCGTTTGCGACGTGGCCATCCTCACGCTGCCGATCTACCCTGTCTCGAAACTACATTTGGCCCGCGGGAAGAAGTTTGCGCTGGCAGCGATGTTTGGCTTGGGGACATTGTATGCCTCCTTCCATATTCGTTACGACCCGGGCTAACCAACCAGTGTTTGCATAACGAGCATCATCCGGACAACCACTCTTGCAGAATCAGCCAACCACACACGCAAAGACCCTACCAGTAGGTCCTGGCCACCCAAGGCAACGAAGCACACTGACAATGTAGGCGGCCCCATCCCCGCCACGATCTGGAGCGTCATCGAAGCCAACGCCGGGATCATCTGCGCCTGTCTCCCCGTCTACCACCAGCCGCTGAAGTGGTGTCTCCCGCGTCTTTTCGGTTCTCAGCACTCGGCGCATCCCTCCGTTAGCCGATCCCGCGGAAGAGGACGGAAGACGCCCGGGAGCAATCAGCCGCCGCAGGATCGAAAGGATATGGCCTGGCACGAGCTACATGGTAGCGGAGGGAGTTACTCGAACAACGTGTCGACGCAGCGGTTCGAGATGTTTGACGTCGAAGGCGGGAAGACTCAGACGAATGAAATCATGCGGATGACGGATGTGAGTGTCTCGTATCAGGATGATCAGAGGTCGGATGCATCCTCGAAGCCCATCAGAGGGCGAGCGGAAGACTGAATTGGCGTTCGGAGTGTGATACCCCTGCCTGTAGTCATTTGTTATGCCAATGAATACAAAAAAGGCCCGATTGAGTTATGTCAAGACATTGGTTCAGCGACAGCCTTTGCACAGTCGGTCATCTGCAGGGGCTCCTCTTCAGTACTGCTCACGGGCATAGCCAGTCAACAGCAAACGTGGACAGTCGCTTCGCCATGCTGGCTCTCCGGATTGACCAGGGAATCTGAGAATTTTGGATCTCGTCCGAATTTAGGAAGTTGCCATCCTCAGGCCATCTGCATGTTGCATATTTAATATGCACAAGGGCCTCGCCTGCGGTCGGTTAGCAGCGGACTATACCCCAGTCGCGTCAATCGACTGCAGGAGTCCGTCCATAACCGACTCGCGAGGAATGTCAACACAGCCTGACTGTCAATGCATGCCAACCTCATTTTCACGCTACGTATCTCTCTAGAGCGGTCTCGAAGTCCAGCTGCTTCAAAGATGAAATTTTGGCGGGTCTAGATGGCACAACCTTGCAAGTTTTGCGTCACGATGATACCCTGTATGTACGTCTGAGTAATGGAAATACCAGGATCCCTTGCGATTTTCTAGACACGCAGGCAAATGGCCTGACAATAGATCAATACCACTCCGACAGGGAAAATTTTCATATCGAAGAAATGCCTCGTCCTGGCCGACTGTTATCCATCTGTCGCCTGTGTGCTTGTAAGCGAGCAATTGTGATGATGTCGATACAACCATGTATATATCGCACATGCCAAGGAGCATCTGCCAAGCGACACAGTACAACCTCACGGTGGCGCTGGACAGTCGTCAAGATATAAAAACCAGGCGAGATCCAGTCCAGTCTGCCAGAAATCATCAGCAGCAATCCCCATTGACTCAAGTCACTCAAATTACTCAAATATCCAACCCTTGATCACCATGAGGTGCTCCCTTGCTTGCCTCCTTGCGTTGGCTGGACTTCAGTCCGCCCTCGCAGACCCCAAAACCTGCCAAAAGGAAGCAAAGTTCGTGAAGAAGGAGATGGTCGGCCAGAAATACTCTGAGGACATGGTACGTGTTTGAGATACTCCATGTCAGGACGAAGCTGACCCTGGGTAGGCAACTGCGCTGCAATCGGACCCCATTCGCGTCCTCCACCCTGGAGATATCATCACCATGGAGTACAATGCTTCAAGGTACTGTTTCCTTAACGATATGTGCTACAGTAGCTGTGACTGACTGGATGGCCAACAGACTGAACATCCATGTGGACGAGAACGATGAGGTTCTGTCCGCCCATTGTGCTTAGGGCACCGGCACGGTCTGACGTAGTGGTCAAGGAATACACAAAAGTACTGTCGTTTAGTTAAACAAATGGAAGATCATTTCCGTTATTAGGGAAGAAAAGAAGTAGCTCCAATATGTATTGATATTCTACAACAATGACGTAGTATAACTTGGACCCTGTCGGACGTGTACTGTCGGACTCGGGAGGTTCCCTGTCCGGCTTGATCTCGCCTCCTGTGCCGAAGTCAAACGGCTAGTTCTCGTGTTTTCCTATCTGCCTGATGTTATTTGCGAGGTGAACATCTGCAAGTCAGACAGCTACACGTTCCATGTCCGCACCTAGGTACTCCGATGCCCAAGTGTTTCGAATGGGATTGCGGATTCAACATTCCGTTTACGCGATCCAAGTATAAGTATAGTTAGAAGAGATGTTGCAACTTACAACATATATGATATACCACTTCCAGCGCAGTTGCACAGTATAAATGGCTCTGCATACCTCGCCACCCTGCCCGGACAATCGAAGCAGCCCCGGTCCATCAGGAACGATCATAGTGCCACCAGTATAGAGGGGATCCTGCTTGGAGACAGTCCACGGCATTGTAGTTTGGCTTCTGCAGTCAGAACTATTTATATGGACGGCTCCGGACAATCGTTGGCGCATTATAACATGATAATGGGGATCAGACAGCGGTCACGGAGATTGCAGGTAAAAGAAAGATGGAAAGGAGTGGAAGAGAGGTGTATCAGCTTCCTACAAAGTGGTGAACAGAGAAGGGTATTTCCCATCACCGGACATCAACCCTTCCAGCTAGTGAATGCTCAGGTCAACATAAGGGAACTGCATGGGGCACTTAATTACTCTTCTAAACAACAGTCTGCTAATCCTGTGGCTTCTGGCCGTAAACATGATACCACTGAGCATACATGTGGATGCTACGATTCAGCAATTCCGCTCTGGCGCCTGCAAGAAGGGCGTGCACCTCAGTGATATGCCATCCGAGAACCCGTGTCATCAGAGCAAAACTGTAAGCATCCAGACTCTCTAGCATATTGACCTGCTGGAATTTGCCTAGTTCCTTCAGCTTCGGGTTCTTTGCCCACGGCGATAGAGGAATCTGCCGTCCCGGTTAATGGTCAGTCTGATGATCAGGATACCACTGCGCCCACCTTGTAAATCTCCTCGTGGATATTGACAAATCCTGCATCTTCAAGGCGCTGCTTGTGCTGGCTCGCCGTCCCCATCACCTTGCCGAACCTTGCGCTTGCGTCACGTACCAGTCGATTCGCCTCGAGCAGGTTCTTTGCCTCCTTGACGGTACCGTCGTCGCAGCAAACGATCAAGTCGGCATCTGCGAATTCGAACCATCCAGCCGGCGCCAGGTTCTTGAAGGCGCGCTCGACGAGGCGACCGTAATCGGAGACAGAACCTTGCAGGTCGCGGGCGTGGATGAAGTCGAATGGCTTGGAGTATTCCCAGTCGGACTCGAAATCGTCCACCTCAAAGGCGAGATTCGGGGGGACCCTGCCAGAATATCAGCAGGACAGCTCCAAAGACACCAGTCATTCCATACCATGTAGGCTGAATGGGGCTCAGATCGTTTCCTGGAGAGTCAGATACTGGCCATGGTCACCTTCCTTTGGACATACCTATAACGGTCGCCTTGGGGAATTGACTGCGACATTAGCATGAGCGACTTCATGAATGGGAATAGACTCACTCAGCGACTTCTATTGCCCATATACCTGTGCCTGTTCCCAGATCGAGGATTCGGGAGACGTCGCTTGGGACGGGAGAGCGGAATAGCTGTCCGTCGAGCTTCAACCGATGGATATGGTGGTGCTTCCAGGGTTAGTTATGCGTCGCCTCTTGACATTGACACAAGTACCAGATCTAAACGATTTTGTTCTTTCTCGTCATTTGGCTGTTGAATGTTAGCTAATCCTCGCTTGGAGACCAAAAGACGTACCATGTTGTATGCGCCCTCTCGGAATGCGTGATATCGGCGACCATTCTATGTTCTCAGTCCTGCTCGAGAAATCTATTTTATAAAACTTACTTCGTACCTGGCATGGTTAGTGGCCGCAGTGCAGTTAATGGATTCACACGTACTGGTAATTGCGAATGCTGGAAGAGAGAGATGTTGTTTCGCTGACGCCGGAGCTGCGCTTCCTATTAGGTGAAGGCGATGTGGTGCGGGCAGTCACACGCACCTATTGACGAAAGAGCCCGAGTCGTCCGAGTACAGATTTTCGTCGTCCTAGGGAATGGTATGAGAAAGATCTACAGCTTTATTCGGCTGTCATGAGAAGAGACTCACCTCCACCTCCAAAGTTCCTCTGTTGTGAATCAAGGTGTCATTTCCTTCCGCCATTCTGTTCAGTCTAGCTGTTTCTCGAAGACAGAAAACCGAACAAAAAGAATGTCCCGGAGCCGGGCATCCTTTAAGAAAACCGTTTTGTGCCACTTGAGACTCTAGCAGGGATGTTCGACACCAGCCCAAAGTAGCTAATGGTCCAGAGCAATCAAATCCCGCGAAGTCGCCGAGACCTCCACCTCCCGCAGTGACATGACACGCGGAAGGATGCAAGTGTCCGTTTTCACTTCGTTAGCCAGTTCGATGAGGATGATGTTATTGGTCTACTGAAGCTGCTAATCGCTAGTGAGCCGTTGCCCCTCACCGCAACTGGTCTGGGCGTCGAGTGTCCTTTCAGTCCTCAATGAATTGCTGACCCGGCGTTCAGGCTGGGGAAGGATGAGAAACACCGACATGTCTCATTGTTCGCCGTGACTCGATTCATTTGTGTGCTGTTGCTAGAGCGTTATTTGGCTCCATTTCGACTGCTATCAAGCATGCTGCTGCCATCAGAACAGGCCACGTCACGCTATCGGACCATCTCATTCAAAGAGGCAAAACCCCGCCTAAACATTAACGACTTTCCAGGATTCCAAGTCACTCATACGAAAGCCCAGATCTTTGGTCATGGTCATGTTTGATTACACCGGGTGTCTATAGGTCAATGGCTTTAGCTTAGCACTGTCCAAATGTGATCAGTCAATTCTCGGGGATAGGCCCGTTGCCTAGAGACAACTCTAATGCGACGTCTTGAGAGTTATTTATTGATTTGCAATCATATCCGCCTTCGGATGCTGGCATGGCAAGACAATCAGCGCCTGTCCAAACAGACAAGGCATTTCCCCTTTGGGACAGCGACATGCTATCCATGAACAAGTTGGAGAGTTGTTTGCCTCTATGCGGCATCCTACGCTGTCGTTTCAAGAGGTACGCGGATTCCAAGTCAAATTGCTAACCATACATATCGTATATCATAGCTTGTCGTCAATCATCTAATCGTCTCGCGAGCGCAAAATAGCAGGCTCCAAACATGAAGTCACATCTAATGACTCACCGCGAAAGGAACACGCGATATGCGTCACAACCCGTCGAGAGTCCGTCCAACCCTCGCTCAGCATATTCAACACCCTCCAAAATCCATCGGCAAACTGCGCCTGCCCTCTCTTCTTTAGAAACCTCTCCAATCCAACCGCCACATCTTCATCTGCCGGTCCATATCGAACAACTGGGATATAGAGGGTAACCTCGGGCACCTCCGCTCCAGGCAGAATCTCAAAACAGTACTTCAACCCGTGTTCTTCATCGCCCTGCGCATGTGCATTCCACACGGGCAACTCGTCGCCCCACGAGAACATCCTATCTCGATAC